GGGGCCAGGTACCAGGCAAGTGGGGACAGCCCTGGTGCCTCAGAGCCCACTGGAATCATCCAGACTGGCCAGACCTGAGCTGTGCTCTTCCTTGCTTTGGCTTTCCTATGGAAACCCCCCCCCCCAAAACTGGCCTCGCTTTTCTCTCCTTTTCCTGCCCCCAGTTGACACTGGTACTTCCCAGTGTAGCCCTGGGACTGCAGGGATGTGCCACATTTTGTTTATTCATCTGTCATGCATGATCACTTTCATGTGCATTCAGAGTGTTTTCATGTGCATTCAGATGGTTTTCATTTAGGGGGATCCACCCAGTGGGGGCACTTAAGCAAACTTTTGGGTCTAGAGTGAGACCAGCGATCTCAACCATGATACCTTTCAGCCGCGGGGGGGTCCTGCTCAGTTATGAGGTCTTCTCTGTATAGTTAAAATGGCACCAAAGCTTGCAAGCAATCAGTTTAAAAACCTCAATGAGAATAGATTCATTCATGTCTCCCTCACTTGATGTATTAACATGCTTTTCTGACGGAGGGATGAAGTGGCAAATTAAACCAGTTTATCAGCCAGGAATTCTTTGGCTGGGATGAATAGAAAACCCACCTCTACCTGGCTTAAACAAATAGGGGAGTCATGGGCTTTGGCCAACTTCAAAGTCCAAAGTGAATGTGCTCAGGTAAGGTTTGATCTAGGAGGTCAGCAGTTTTACCAGATTTGTCCTGTCTGCTTACTTCAGTTCCTGAAATGTTGATTCATTTAAGTGAGTCCCTGTTTTAGTTTCCTAGGGCTGTGGTAACAAAGTACCACAAACTTGGTGGCTTAAAAAACAACAGAAATTCATTCTGTCAATTCTGGAAACCAGAAGTCCAAAATCAAGGTGTACGTAGGGCAGTCTTCCATCCAAAGGCTCGAGGGGAGGATCCTTCCTTGCCTCTTCCAGCTTCTGGTGGCTCCTGGTGTTCTTTGGCTTGTGGCCACATCACCCCTGCCTCGGTCTCCATCCTCACATGACCTTCTTCTCTGTGGCCTTTCCTCTTGTAAGGATGCCTGTGGTTGGATTCCCAGTATAATGTCACCTCAATCCTTTCATTATTTCCAAACAAGGCCACATTCTCTGTGGATGAGTGTGAATTCTGGACACTGTTTAACCCACTGCCGTCCCTAGCAGCTCTAAGTGGCTGTGCCAGCAACAGCTCTGTGCATTTTTTGCTCATGGCCAGTAAGAAAGCATCTTTGCTCCAGCATTCTTAGCAGAGGTCCTGAGATTCGCTGTGCTTGGCCCAGCTTAGGTCAGGCCCATTTCTGAATTAATCACAGTGATCAGGGATGGGAGTGCTGATTGGCCAAACTAGGCCATATATTCTTTGCCTAGAATGGGGGATGGAATGTAGAGGACACAGAGCTACATGTGTCCCCAAGAGAAGGCAGGACTGTTGGGGAGGTGAAGGGTGGATCTCAGAGGTGAGAGATGTTCACTGTAACCAGCAATGCCAACAGCTTTTATCTCGTACCCCAGCGCACACGAGGTTCATGGGATGTTGTGGTCATTTGGGTCATGATGGCACAAGGTGGGGAACCACTTCCTTCGGGACTGCTGCACTTCCCAGCCTCCCAGGGAGTCCCCTTGGCAGAGAACACCACAAGATCTCTGCTGCTTGCTCAGATCTCGGTGGATCTGCCTCACCTGGGATATTGTCACAGGGCTCCATGTTTGTTTCCAGGCAGCTTTGGAAAGCGCCTCCAGAAGAGAGGTTTGTGGGCTTTTCCTGGGGCTGGGGCCATGGTGGGGGCCGGGATGCATCCACTTTCATGTTTTATACAGTAGGCTCCTAGGTAGTTTCCTAGGTAGAGCAGTATCTTCTCAACGTTAGGCGTCTGCGTGCCTCCTGCTTGGGTGTTTGCCGAGCAGCCACCTTCTTTCTGCCTGCCTGAGATGCCAGGTACCTGCACCAAGATTCTCCTGACCCACTGATTTCAATCAACACCCCTTAAGCCTTTCACCCACAACTGTGAGTGGACAACCAGTATCGTATGCCATGAATGGAAGTTTGCTGTAGGAGTAAATAAAGGAACAACTTCAGATTGTCCACCCCAAGTGCAGAGCCGCAGAGTCCTGCTCTGCCTGAAAGAGGAGACGGGGAGATGCAGGTGTGAAAGCTGCTTCCTCATTGAGGTGACCAGAAGGATCAACAGACTCAAAAAGGGAACCCTGACCTCTCAGGTGGATAGAGACACAGCCCCACCTCCTTCCCACCCCACCTCACCCTCACCAACCCACAGTGCACATGTAGCGTGAGTGAGCAAAATAAACTTGTGTTCAGCCACTGAGATGTGACACTTAACTGTGTCGGCACAGCATTGATCTGACACGCTTAGTTATCCTTGGCAGGATGATATCCTTTGGGCCTTAGCCAAACTCAGTGTTCCCCCCTAAACTCACAACCTGAGATCAAGACCTAAGCTGAAATCAAGAGTTGTACGCTTAACTGAGCCACCCAGGCAACCCTAACTGATTTAATTTTTAAAGATTTATTTATTTGAGAGCAAGCACAAGTGGAGGGGGCAGAGGGAGAGGGGGAGAAAGCATCTCAGACTCCCCGCTGAGCGTGGAGCCTGACTTGGGGCTCATTCTCAGGACCCTGAGATCATGACCTGAGCCAAAATCGAGTCAGGCACTTAACCAACTAAGCCACTCAGGAGCCCCTAAATTGATTTATTTTTCAAGAGGGTTTTCTACTACTGCCATGAGTGGGAAACTAGTTTCTCTTGTCAGTAAAGGAAAAAGGGGGGGGGGGAGGAACTAAAATAAATACCGAGAGGAAAATAGTATTAATTTCTATCTACAATGACTGCCTGAACCTGAGGCCTGCTGTGTCTTTGTATCCAGAGAGGCGTGAACGACATGAGGTTGATGCTTCAGTCAGGATCACACTAGAACGAAGTGTGGTCTGATGATGTATTTGAGGACCAGCAAAACTGTGTGGCTCCCCGGTGTCCATGCTCCACCCACACTTTGGGACAACAGACATAACTATCCCGGTGTCCATGCTCCACCCACACTTTGGGACAATAGACATAACTATCCCCTCTCATGGGGCAGTGTTCACCGTGAGAAGCCCTCCTCCTCCAGAACGTGAGCACTTGGCAGGCCTGGGGGTCTCCGTGTGCCCAGCATCTGGCCAGGTATGTGGCGGCAGGCTGAGAGAGGCAACCAACGCTTATAGACTCAAAACTTTAATCAGAGAACCAAAGAGAACCAAAACGCACACATGAACGGCATTTCCGCACTGCCCCACAGCAACACAGGTCAGTAGTTACAGAGACTGCCCCCACCATGGCTGCCAATTTTCCACAGGGCCTCTGACCTCTCTCTTTGGTGTCAAAACTCTCGTTGAACACACTCATCAGTTCGAGTTCCTGCCTCTGTTCTGCCCTTTGGTAGAGAACAGGCCCGTCGCACAGACTACACAGCAATTGGAGGGCGGGGACCATGTGCGGGGAGTTAGAAGTTTTGGCCATTTGAAAACCAGTATGTTCCCACCGTGGTGTGGGCCCAGTGGTCAGCCAATCAGTTCTTAGTTACAACAAAACCAACCAGCAGAACTCAAGGTGTGAGGTTTAAAAAGCTCAAGAGCACAGAGCACATATTCCTAAGCTTTTGTAGCACCAAAAACATGAAAGATATCACAAGTGTCAATGTCTTCATTAGATTCTGTTTGTGCTTCAGGAAACATGTCACTGGTCATTCAGTGAGTGAGACACAAAAACCCAGAGCTGAGGAGGTATCATCAAGAGGGAGCTGATCGTGTGGTTCCACAAGGTGTCTCAGCTGTAGAACAGGCCTGGCCAAGGTTAAGCAGTTGACTTGAGGGCTCCAACAGGATGGCGTCCTCCCTGGGCTCTCCAGCACTCCGCCACAGTCCCAGAACTTGCTGTGACATGAGGGAATTTAAGATGTCACTTGTCAATGAATGGTACTTCTCTGTGGAAATGGGGCCATCCACTTCCCTTTGATTCCAGAAGTTTCCAGGCAAGGGCAGGGCTTACCGCATTGGTATTCTCTACCTTGGAGCCTGACAAAGTGCCTGGTGAGTGGCTGGCTTGAACAAACAGTACATGAGGAATATGTTAGCTGTCATTTCTGTATACTACAATTTCTACCACCAAGGACATCTGTGAACTCTGTGGCAATATAAAATGCAGCTTTCCCAGATGAATCCCACTGCTTCCAGTACCATTAACTCCCACAGCAAACTGGGCCTCATGCTGTATAATCAACTTTAAATTATGGGACAGGGTGACATGTATATGTGGGAGGGTGTCCTTTTGAGTGGGAGGTTTTGGAGGTTAGGAGTGGAAAGTTCTAACTAGTTGGTGTTAGTTTACATGCTCTTCTTGGCTTCTGTGGGTTAATTAAGAAAGTACAAGAGCAGAGGGAAGGAAAAGACTAGACTTTTTTTTTAAAGAAAAGAGCAAGGTGCTGGGTTTTGAGAACCAAATTTAGCCAGGGGCATTTTGGAGAAACCTTTAAAAATGAAAGCTATGTGGGGCACCTGTGTAGCTCAGCCAATTGAGCATCCAACCCTTGGTTTTGGCTGGGGTTGTGATCTCACGGTTGTGGGATCAAGCCCTACATCAGGCTCTGCGCTTAGCACAGAATCTGCTTCAGATTCTCTCTTCCTCTCCCTCCCACTCACTCTAAAATAAATAAAATCTTAAAAAAAAAAAACTATCTAAAAAATAAATAAATAAAAGTGATGAAAGGGCACCTAACTGGCTCAGTCAGAAGAGCATATGACTCTTGGTCTCAGTGGTCAGTTCAAGCCCCACGTTGGGTATAGATATTACTTAAAAGTAAAATCTTAAAAAAAAAAAAATGAGGGGCACCTGGGTGGCTCAGTTGGTTGGGCATCTGCCTGGCTCAGGTCATGATCTCAGGGTCTTGCGATCGAGTTCTGGGTCAGGCTCCCTGCTCAATGGGGAGCCTGCTTCTCTCTCTCCCTCTGCACCTCACCCCTGCTCGTGCTCTCTCAAATAAATAAATAAAATCTTTTTAAAAAATGAAAGCCACTGCATAGTTTTAGCAAGAACATTAACTGCAGTAAATAGAGGATTGCTAATTCTTCCCTTTTCAATATATTTGTCGTGTATCGTAAGTATTTGTAGCTCACATTTGGTGAGTACTTGCTATGTGCTGGGCACTCAGTTCAAAGTGCTTCTTTACATCTATTTATTTATTCTCACAACAGCCCTCTGAGGTAGGTAATTGTCTTGTGCCCATTTTACAGATGAGGATGCCCTAGGAGGTCCCATGACTCTCCCCAGATCACTCAGGTAGCACATGTCAGAGCTGGGATTTAACTCAGCCAACTGGCTCGGGTCTACCTCTGAATTCCCATGTTCTCAACTACTGTGTTTTCATGAAACTCGTGTACAAATTTTCTAATCACTCTTTATGGATAAAGAGATCTATTTATTTGGAGAGAGGGAGCTTACAATGTGATTTCAACTTTAGGACTCAGATGAACCATGTTCAGATGTCTGGGAGTTTGCTGCCACCCAGTACTAGGAAGTACTGCTACTTGTTACTTTCTACTTAACTCCTTGTTACCTGTAAGTGTGAACTTGCTGATGTCTGCTGAGACCTGCAGCAAAGGGCTGACAAGGTTGACATTGCTAGTTTCTCTTGGGTGTGAACTCTCTGGTGCTGACTGAGATGGGCACTGAGGCCAAAGGCTTTCCCACACACCCTACAGGCATAAGGCTTCTCCCCAGTGTGAACTCTCTCATGCTGCATCAGATTTGCTTTCTGGGCAAAGGCTTTCCCACATTCAGCACACACATAAGGCTTCTCCCCAGTATGAATTCTCTGGTGAACAGAAAGGCACGAGCTCTGGCTGAAGGCTTTCCCGCATTCCTGACAAACATAAGGCTTTTCCCCGGTGTGAATTCTCTGGTGAACAGAAAGGCACGAGCTCTGGCTGAAGGCTTTCCCGCATTCCTGACAAACATAAGGCTTTTCTCCGGTGTGAACTCGCTGGTGAACAGAAAGGCACGAGCTCTGGCTGAAGGCTTTCCCACATTCCTGACAAACATAAGGCTTTTCTCTGGTGTGAACTCGCTGGTGTTCAATGAGTTGAGCACCCATGCTGAAGGTTTTCCCACAGTGACTGCATTTGTGGGGTTTCTCACCTGTGTGATCTCTCTGATGCTTAGAAAGGCACAAGCTCTGATGGAATGATTTTCCACATTCGTTACACTCAAAGGACTTCTTTCTAGAATGAGCTTTATGATGCTGAGTAAGGTAGTTACCAGGGGCAAAGGCTTTGTCACATTTGTTACACTGAGATAGTTTCTCTGCAGTGTGAATTAACCAATGTTCTGAGAGATGTGCACTTTCACTGAAGGTCTTTCCACATTCATTACATTTAAAGGGGTGCTCGCTTTTGTGGACAGACTGATGTTTGGTAAGGGAAGTGCTGTGGATGAAGGCCTTCCCACAGTCCCCACATTCATACCGCCTCGCCCCAGAGTGGATGCTCTGGTGGCGAATGAGCTGTGTACTTTGGCCAAAGGCTTTTCCACACTGGTTACACTCAAAGGGTTTCACCCTGGTGTGAACCCTCTCGTGCTGAGTCAGGTATTTGCTGCGGCTAAAGGTTTTCTCGCATTTTTTACACTTAAAGTGCTTCTCACCGATTCTTGGTTGCTCTCTCTGCTCTGAGTCCTGATTCAGGATCCTCCTGCTCTCACCAAGTCCTTGTTTTTCTCTGGTGTGAACAGTCTGGTGGCAAGTTAGGGTGGAGCTGCAGATGAAGCGCTCACCACACTCCTGACACTCATAGGGGGTCTCCACATTGTGCATTTTCTGGTGTTGGACAAGGTGTTCATTGTGGCTGAAAGTTTCCTTGCATTTGGCACAGCTGTAGGGCTTTTCTGTGGCATGGATGGACTGGTGTCGAATCAGGTGGGAGGGCCGGCTGAAACTCTTGATGCATTTGTGACATTTATAGGGCCGGTAGCCAGTGTGAATCCTCTGATGTTCATTAAGGTGAGTGTTCCGGTAGAAGGCTTTCCCACACTCACTGCATTTGTAAGGCTTCTCTCCACTGTGAACCCTCTGGTGGATCTTTAGGGTTGAGATATTCCTGAAGGGTTTCCCACACTGATCACACTTGTAAGGCTTTTCTCCGGTGTGAACAGACTGGTGTTTGACAAGCAGCAAACTCCGCCTGAAGGTCTTCCCGCATTCCTGACGCTCAGAGGGCGTGTCCGCAGCATGGATTTTCTGGTGTTGGAGGAGGTATTTGGGGAAGTTGAAGGTCGCTTTGCATTTGGCGCATTCATAGCGTTTCTGGGTATGGGTCTTCTGATGCCGACTAAGATGAAAGGTTCGGCTGAAACTCTTGCCACACTCGCTACATATGTAGGACTGACCCTCCGTGTGGGTTTTCTGATGCTCAGCAGGCTGTAAGCCGAGACCTGACAGCTGGTCACCATCTTGATTCTTAGATGGTTTTTCTCCAGTGTGAATTTTCTGATGCCACAGAAGGTGTGTATTCTGACTGAAAGTTTTCCCGTACTTGGTATACACACAGGATTTGTAGCCTGTGTGAGTCATTGGAGGCACAAAGAGGCAAGAACTCTGGCTGAAACATTCCTCGTACTCTTGATGTACAGTGGGTTTCTCTCTAGTATGAATAATCCAGTGCTGGATAAGGTGGTAACTCTGGCTGAAGCTCTTCCCACATTCACTACATTTATACAGTTTCTCCCCTTCCTGGACAGTCTCCTGCCGGCTCTGGTCTAAGTCACAGCCAAAGTCACTCCCATGTTCTGGAGACGTAGCTGGTGCCAGGCTCTTTTCAGGAGGACTGTGAATCACAGAATCCTCTCCTGTGGAAAGGAGAGACTCAGGATCAAGGTCTCTCTTGAGTTCGTGACTCCTGCATTCTATGGGACTTTCCTTGTTGGTAACAAAGTCAGACCTCTGAAAACTTTCTGGATCCTCTAAGATACTATCTAACCAACTCTCGCCTACACAGACTTTCCCCCAACTGGAGTTCCAGAGGCCATCCTTGGAAAACGTCTCCACGATCTCCTGAGAGAGTTCTTCTTCCAAGAAGTCTTGGGCCAGAAGACAGTTCTTGACCTCAGCTGTGTCTGAAAGAGAGAGAAAGTGCAGCTGTCTCCCGTTCCCAAGGGTAAAAAAGTCTGGAGCTGCAGGGTGAGAACACAGACAAGAGGGAGAACAGGTGATGGCTCCTCAGTAAGCCTGTCCTCAAGGTGATGAAGGAGAAGGGGCCGAAGTCGTGACCTGGCTGGAACTAGCATCACAGGAAACAAAGAGCCCATTTCCAGGACAGTTAAGCGGGGAACTGGGCAGCCACAGGGGCTCCACTGGGAAGGGGAGCCTCTCAGCAAATACTCTCTGCCACTACCCCCATCAGCTATGGCCCACTTCCTGGAGAAGGGCACTGTTCAACGGGGAAAAAATTATAAATAATAGTAATGCAGTACCGTTATTACCACCGGAGGACAGATTTGGTTGGTAAAGGCACAGCTACGTGTGCTTGGAAACAGCATATGTTGTTGAGGTGGCCGGATTCTGTGCCTGGGCTGGTCACCTATGCACAAACACTGGTGCACTTGACAGGAGGCTATAGAGGGTCCACATTCATGAGCTCATGAGCAGTGAGCCAAGAACAGAGCTGCATCCTGACTGGGTGGTGGAGGCTGAGACCAAGCCATGCGGCCACCCCCTGTGATCTCTGATTCGGGGGCCCTTCTCGTGTTAATGATCTGACCATGAGAAAAGCCTCCTGTGCCCCAGGCAAGGCCCCTGCTCTGCCTTTTCCCACTGGGGACATCTCAACCAGGTTAATACCCTCACTGCCTAACCTGCTCCCCCCGGAGGAAGCACAGCCTAGGAGAGACCCAAACAAATGTTCTTGGCTGCATTAAGGCCTGGGCTTGCGTTATTCACAGATGCAGCCCCCCGCTGTGCCCTGTGGGACAGACTTGTACAAAGAGGGGTGAAACAGACCGGGGGTTCACAGGGCTCAACAGGCACAAGGCAGGAAGGTGGACAGACTGAGTCAGGGCCTAGAAGGCCACCTCCTGCTCAGCCTGAAAAGATGGACGAGGGGACAGAGGAAAGGCACCAGAACAGCCGCATGCTGAACACTGATGTAGATGGAGACAAGACAGGCCGGCAGAGGGATGGTCCCAACCTGCCAGGATGAGCGGACAGAAGCCAGCACATGGCAGAGTGACACTCATCAGTCCAGGGTCAAGATGTCTGGATAAACATTCTGGATCTGGATGGAAGTTCCAAAGATGGATGGCACACAAGGGGCCATGTGGCACGGGCCCACTGCCCTCCCCTCCCTGCCCACTCACCAGGGCCCGCCGATTCTGGGCTTTCTCTCACCAGGACCTTCAGCTCCTCGGTGCCATCTGTATGGGAGGTCAGTTTGGGTTTGGAGGGGTCTGCAGGCAGAGAAGAGCACTGTCATCAACTAGGACATGGAGGACCAGGCAGCTGCGTAGCGAGAACCTCCTGGCTCTCCTGCCTAGCCAATGCTTTATCCAGCGTACTGCTCCTGAGGGCCAGATGCTGCACTGGGTGACTCCAGGGACACCTGCCCTGCTGGGTTCCCAGTCCAGTGGAGGAGAGGGACGCAGACAGTCACGATCTAGGACAATCAGAGCTGTGACATCCGGGGCTGCGGATACAAAGGACTTGCAGCAGCTCTTGAGGAATGAGCGGTTTGCCAGGTGGAGAGGCTCGTACTTACTCAGCCATCCGTGGCTCACGCATTCACCCAGGGAGCACGCATCACCTGAGGCCTCCACAGGCCGGGCCTGGGATGGAGCATGCTGGGTTCCCACAGCCCAGTCAGCCCCACACGCTGCCCCCTGCAAACTAACTCCTTAAGGAAGGGAGCAGAGTCGTAATACTGGGGGTCCGAGCTACAGTGGAGGAAAAGCCCCTTCTGGCTTGAAAATGAAAGGGCCGTGAGCCAAGCAATGCAGGCGCCTCTAGAAGCTGAAAAGGGGCAAAGAAACACTCTTCCCTGGAGCCTCCAAAAGGATCGAGCCCTGCCAACACCCTGATTTTAGCCCCGTCAGACCCGTTTCATACTTCCGACCCCCAGAACTGTAAGAATTGTTTTAAGCTGCTGTGTTCGTGGCATGAGTAAGAGCAGCCATAGGAAGCTAATACACTGCTCGGGTGTATACACACGTGTGCAGGGGAGTCAAGGGAAACAGGCATTTATTGTGGCCCGTAGTTTAAAAATAGAAAAGACATGGAGGTCTGAGCCAAGCTGCTTCTATAGCACACATTGGGCAGAGCTGAGAGAAAATCTGCAAGGCTGGCCCTTGGCTGGTGTCTGGGAACCTGGATTTGAGGAGGGTGCCAGATTTCCCGAACCAAGATGAGCTGTGCCCCAAGGGTCATGCTGAACACCTGCTTCCCTTCTGGGAGTCTAGAATTCTGGTACATTCCAGGCAGAGTGCGCCTCTGTGACCAGCCCCCAGTAAAAATTATGGGCACTGAGTCTCTTTAACAAGCGTCCCTGGTAGACATTTCACATGTGTTGTCACCTTGGTACACAACCTGTGGGACTCCACAGGCAGAGGGCTCTGGAAGCTGGCTCTGGTTTCCCCTTTGCTGCCCGTGCTAGATCTTTTCTCTAATATGTCATGGCCAGGAGTACGACTACATGCTGAGTCCTGCGAGTCCTCCTTGTGCACCACCAAACACAGGGTGCTTGTGGGGACCTCAGCATAGCTGAGATGGCGACTTCCCCTCTGTGGACCTCGATTTCAGAAGGGCCCACAAAACAGGGAGTCAGACTTCCTCGTGGGGGGATGGTAGGATTGAAGGGCAGTTCTCAGCACTGACCCAGCGTGAGACACGGCTCCTGACCCAGCTGCTCCTGCATTTACTGAGCTGCCGCTCAGTGAGTCCCCACAGCAGGTACAGACTGTTCCAGACACTGGGGATATACCCGTGAGCAGCATAGGTGAACAGTCCCTACCCTCAGGGGGCACCAGTCCCAGCTGCAGGAGACAGAGCATCAAATGAGCAGTTAGCAAGTGCAGGGGTGGTAGGTGAGCAGAGCAGGAGACAGAGGAGGACTTGCTCACAGGCCGTCCTGGGGGCAGGGAGGGGACAAGTCTTCTAGCAGAGGGGAAGGCAGATGCGAGGACTCTGCCTATCAACTTTACAATGACAAAGAGGAAAGTGCTGACGAAGCCAGAGCAGCAGGTGGGGGTGATCAGGGTTTCTCAACCTTGGCACTCCTGACATTTGGGGTCGGATAATCCTCGGCTGTAGGGGCTGTCCTTGCATTCCAGGACATGTGGCAACAAGCCTGGGCTCTACCTACGAGATGCTAGGTGCATACCCCCCACTCCCAAGTGCTGATAATCAGCAAGGGCATTGCCAATGTCCCTGGAGGGGGGTTTGTGGCCAGAACTGGCCAGCTGAGCACTGTTGGGCCATGTTATGCTCGTTCTCTGGCACTCAGGAGCCAGGAGTTTATCCTGGGGGACAGGAGCCACTGAGCAGGGCAGTGACCAAGCCCCCGGGGCTGGAGTGGACACTTACTCAGCAGGAATAGGTTCTGGTAGTTGTCCAGCGCTGTGTCCCAGAACAGGTCCCCCTGGTCCAGCCCCAGGTGCTCCCAGTCCTCCAATGTGAAGTCCATGGCCGCATCCCCAAGGGGCACAAATTCCTGAAATGTGACACACTGTCAGTGACACTGGGACTGGGCTCACTCCGTGCACCCCGCTCTCAATATACCAGGCCTTTGACAAAAATCATCTCCTGGGAGTCCTGAGACATAAGAGACTGGGCAAGATATGCAGTCTTGGAGAGGGGACGTTGAGGTCCCCTCAAGGTCACACAGGCAGGACTTAAATCCACGTCTGCCTGTTGCTAAAATCTACATACTGTGGCTCTTGCTTTTGAGTGTTCATTCAAGATTTTAAGTTATTATGGAAAATTTCAGACATATACAGAAGTAGAGATTTGTTTGTAACAGACCGCCATGTACCCATCACCCAACTTCAACCCTTGTTAACACTGGTCTATTTTGTTCATTAGTTTTTTTTGCGGGGGGGGGGGGAGACAAAATATTTCAAAATGAATCCCAGGCAGCATCTGATTTCCCCTGTGAATACTTCAATATTTACAAGAGAACTCCTTAGTCACTGAATACCTAGACCATATTCAAAGTCTGAGTGTAGATTTGTCTGACATCTCAATGGTGGTTTTTTCCTTTTTTTTTAATTGTAAAAAAAAAAATGCCACTTCATCCAGTGGCATCAAAGGCATTCACATTATGCAGCCATCACCTTGCAGAACTGAAACTCTGTCCCCTTTAAACACCATCTCCCCACCCCCAGCCCCAGCCCAGCCCCAGCCCAGCCCCTGGCATCACCATTCTGCTATGATTTGACCACTGTGGGTTCAATGGTATGTTTTTCTGGCTGGCTTGTTTGAATCAGAAGCCAAAGTGGCCCACGCCCTGCGCTGGGTTGACATGACTCTGAAGGTTTTTAATCTACAGCTGCACCCTCTGCCCTCTCATCCCTCCACCACCCCTCCACCGTCCCACATTATAGATGTGGCGATTTCTCTCACTGTCATCTGGCTGCTCCTTGGCCCACTGCATCTCCCAGAAACTGCTTGGTAAGTGGCCTGATTAGATTCAGTACGACTTCTGAGGGGAAGCAAGAGCCCTCATAGGTGGTGCTGAGTCCATTTTGGGCTGCATGACTGCCTGAGGCACCCGAATGTCCAACTGTAAGTGACATCATTTCTTAATTTGAAAACTTCCTAGTGAGTAGGTACTTAGAACAAACCCTCAAATACTCGAGAAGTATTGATAATAAAGGGCCAGCCTTGGGGTGCCTGGGTGGCTCAGCTGGTTAAGCATCTTACTCTTAATCTCAGCTCAGGTCTTGATCGCAAGGTCATGATTTCAAGCTCTGTGTTGGGCTCCACACTAGGTGTGGAACCTACTTAAAAAAAGGGTTGAGGTGGCTCAGTTGGTTAAGCGACTGCCTTTGGCTCAAGTCATGATCCTGGGGTCATGGGATGGAGCCCCACATCAGGCTCTCTGCTCAGCAGGGAGTCTGCTTCTCCCTCTGTCCCTCACCCCTCTCTCTCTCTCAAATAAAATCTTAAAAAAAAAAAAAAGTGCCAGCCTTACCCCAAGCACCCCGTCTCCAGGAGGACCCATGGCTCTCTGATGTGCTCCCTCCAGACTGCTATCAATGCACACAAAGGCATGGGTTTTTTTAAAAAGATTTATTTATTCATTTGAGGGAGAGGGCATGAGGGGGAGGGGCAGAGAGAGAGGGAGTAAGACTCTCAAGCAAGCTCCATGCTGAGAGCAGAGCCCAATGTAGGGCTTGATCCCATGACCGTAAGATCATGACCTGAGCCAAAACCAAGAGTCAGACACGTAACCAACTGCACCACCCAGGTGCCCCTACAGGCATGTTTTACCTAAGAATGGAACCTGAGTCTCTAGTTGGGCTTGGCACCTGGCCCAGCTACCTTCTGCTGTGGATGACCACGGGCAAGTAAGTCACATGCCCCTTCTGAACCCTGATTCCTACCCAATTAGTAAGATGGGACTAATGAGCCCCATGGCATGAGTCGCTGCTCCAAGAAGCGACTGAGTCCTCCTACCATGTAGAAAGGACCCAACCAAAGGGACCAAAGGACAGTTCCACACCTCTCCATCCCCATCACAAATCTCATCCAGGAGTCCTCACTTACCAATTCCTTGAAAGCAGGATTGTCCACAATTTATAGAAGGTAAGATTGAGGCCCAGAGAATCAAATTCACCTGCCCCGAGTCACACACTCGCTAAGTGGGGGCAAAGGAGTGAGAGTCCCCTGTGTGACCCTAGGAAGCCAACTAGTTAGAGGCATGACTTTGTAGTCTGTCAGACCCCCAAATCAAATTCTGGTTCTGCTATTTATTAACCATGGGACCTTGTTATTCCCTGTCTCTAAGGCCCTGTTTCCTCATCTCTAAAATACTGCTGCTGTGGGGATGCAGTGAGCCGAGGACCGTCTGCACAGCACCACCCATCGTCCAGGGACCACTGAGCACCTGCTCTGAGCCTGCCTCATGCCAGGCATATGGCAGAGCAGAGAAGAGTCTAGTTCTTATGGAAGTTAGTCTGGGTGTGTCATATTGATATTTGTGGAAAATGCTTTGTAAAACTCTTAATAACAGTCAACACACACGTGGGTATGTTAAAAAAAAATGCTCATCTTCAAAGGATGATAGGAACTGATCTTATATTGAAAATTGGTATATAAGAGGAAAGAATCAAGCATTTATCCCACCTCTGCTATATGAACTGTACCAGTGGGTTACCAAAATAGAAGATGAAAGGACATTTTTTTTTTTTTTTTTTTTTTAGAGAGTGAGAGAGTGCATGCAGCAGGGGAGGGGCCGAGGGAGAGGGAGAGAGAATCTCAACAGGCTCCACACTCACTGCAGAGCCCAATGCAGGGCTCAAACTCAAAACCCTGAGATCATGACCTGAGCCAAAACCAAGAGTCAGACACTTAACCAACTGAGCCACCCAGGCACCCCAAGGAGGTATCTTTTTATAAGAGTATTTCAACTAATGAAAAGGAACGAATTAGAGCACCACCATCTTGCAAGCCCTGAGGAATGCAGAGATGAGAAGGCAGTAAGTATCAATTCCTGCCAGGATCACAAAAAGAGAGAACTGGACATTCTGGGCCTCCCCGAGCTCTTTTTTTTTAAAGTTATCCAATCATTTTTTTAAAGATCTTATTTATTTTTTGACAGAGAAGGACAGCACAAGCAGGGGGAGCAGCAGAGGGAGATGGAGGAGCAGGCTCCCCGCTGAGCAGGGATTCCAACGTGGGGCCCAATCCCAGGACCCCGGGATCATGACCCGAGCCGAAGGCAGACACTTAACCAACTGAGCCACTCAAGCACCCCTCCGAGTTCTCCCAAAAGGACTGGCTGAGGCTGATCTAAGCCCCTGAATCCAGCCATCAACTGGGAGTGTGCTACACAGCACCAAAAGTAAGTAACCAGCAAAAAAAAAAAAAAAAAAAAAAAAAACCAGACTGGGAGAAATTCTACAGGTCAAACAGCCCTGGTTCTTCAATGGACAAACTATTAAGAACAGAATGGGATAGAGGAGGAACCTATATGTTAAGAAACCCCCAAAACATTAAAAAAAGAGAAGGGGCAACAGGGACGTGCATTTGGGTGATAAAACTATGTTCCAAAAACCAGAAGGAAGGGGCGCCTGGGTGGCTCAGTTGGTTGGGTGTCCGGCTCTTGATTTCTGCTCAGGTCATGATCTCAGGGTTGTAGCATGGAGTCCAGCATCAGGCTTCATGCTGGGCATGGAGTCTGCTTGAGATTCTCTCTCCCTCTGCCTCTACCCCCACTTCTCTAAAAAAGGAAGTGATGACTACAAAAACCAGGTTATTTATGGGTACACGAGAGGGCTCCAGGATGGCCAAGGTCTCACTCTTGACCTGGTTGGTGTCTGCCTTCACTGTCATTCATTTGATGTGCATGGGTTTCTGCATTTGTGCTTCATTTTACAACGAAGATTTTGGGGCACCTCGGTGGCTCAGTTGGTTGAGCGTCCGACTCTTGATCTCAACTCAGATCTTGATTTCAGGGTCATGAGTTCAGGCCCCGTGTTGGGCTCCGTGCTGGTCATGGAGCCTACTTAAAAAAAAAAAATACAACAGAAAGATTTCTCAAAAACTATGCGTATTAATTAAGCATATTCTAAACAGGACGCTCCTCCTGGAAAAAGATAAAAGGTGGAAGGGCAGAGGCAGGGAGATGAGCAAAAAGATGAATTCCATGACCCAGGTGAGAAATGAGACAGGGATGGAGAGTGGGGTGGCAGGACAAGATGTAGACATTCTGATGATGGTGCTGACAACATTTCCTAAGAGATCAAATGTAGCAGTGAAAGAGAGGAGCCCAGACGTCTCTAAGATTTTAGCCCAAGCAACCGCAAGGATAGAGCTGCAGCTTCCGGAGACGTGGGATAAGCAGGTTTCCGGGCAGAGTCTGAGTTTGGTCTGGTGCGAGTTAAGTTTCAGATACCCTTTTAGACCTTAGACATAACAGTCCCCCAAAGACATCCACGTTCTAATCCCCAGAACCCACAACTGTTACCTTGTATGGCAAAGGGGACTTCACAGGTGTGACACGTTAAGGATCCTGAGATGGGGAGGTTCTCCTGGATGATCAAGGTGAGCCCTAACTGCCATGACCAATATCCTTATAAGAGGCAGAAGGAGACAAAGGAAGGAGAAGGCAAGGTGATGACGGAAGCAGAGGTGAAAGGGATGTGACCATGAGTCAAGGAACACAGGTCCCTCTAGAAGCTGCATGAGGCATGGAAAGGATTCTCCCCCGCAGCCTCCAAAAGGAAGGGGCCCTGCGGACACCCTGACTTCAGATTTCTAGCCTCCAGAACTAAGACAATACATTTCTGTTGTTCAAGGCACTTTGTTACTGCAGCCCTCGCAAACAGACACGCTCTTACCCCCCCATAACATGTGAGCTACATGATGGCAGGGACCACATCAGCTGGTTCCCTAGTGTGTCAATACAGCACCTAGAACAAAGCCTACCTGCAGGAAGCACGTGGGGGCATGCAGTTCTGACAGCTGTTTCGGGACAAGGATGGAGCCAAGAGGTAGTGGGGCTGAGAGATGGGGACGATAAAGTGGGTCTTGGTCACACTGCGTGAGCTGGCGGATCAAGCCAGCACCCCCGCTGGACTTTTCGGTTATGTGCCCTACAGAATCTACTGACAGTTTAAACTGGGTTGAGTCGAGTGTTCTGTTATTTGTAGTTGAAACTGTTGCTGTCTATATACCCTGTCGGAAGGGATTAGCCAAAGAGGTCTTCTCACCAGGAGCCAGATTAGAGAGTCTCAAGAAGCTTCCTTTCCTGGACTCCTTGACTTTGCTGGACAGCAGCACCCCTGGAAATAGTGGTGGAGGGTGTGGGAAGACCCTGGACTTGATTCGTGGGGCACTGGGGAGCCACAGAGTTTTTTAGACTGGCCAATGACAAGGTCAGAGCATGCATTCATTCATTCAACAGTCATTTCTCCTGTGTGCCAGACCCCTCTGAGGATGCTGGAGGCACAGAGGTGTCAGACCCTGTCCTTGGCCTGGAGGGGACATTCAGGGATGCTAATAGCATAAGGAGATAGGGCTATAACAGAGGGCAGTATCCAGGGCTGTGGCCAGGAAAGGGCGTGAAAACACTGCCTTGGAGTTAGGGAAAGCTGCCTGGTCGGGTGAGATATTCAAGTTGGATCATTAAGGATAAGCAGATATTAGCAGGTAGAGGAAGGTTTTCTTTCATCATTCAAGCAACGCCTCAAGAACTCCTGTGTACCGGGACTGTGCTGTTCCCTGGGGGCCCAGAGGTGAGTCCCAATCAGTACCCATCCCCAAGGAGCACCTTGTCTGGTGGGGCTGACAGACAGGGGCAGGAACAACCACATCCAGGTGGATCTGTGCTACGGTGGAGGCAACAGGGGACGCTATGGGAGAGCAGAGCCGGGAAGAGCTGACTGCCCAGAGAAGGTGGGGGGACTGAGCTGTGTCTTGAAGGCTGTGTAAGACTCACCAGCCAGAGATGGCGGGTAGGGTATTCTGGCAGAGGGTGGAGCCTGAGCAAAGGCTGCAAATCTGGAAAGTACAGTGTAACATTTTACCACCAGGCCAAGAAAGGAGTTTTGGTTACTTAGGGAGACAGAGAAGATGCCGTGGAAGGTGGTGGGACTCAGATCATGCAGGATTGTGCTGAGATATGTGGATCTTATCCTATAAGCAGCAAGGATTCCTGGAAGGGTACTGCACAGGGAAGCAATAGTATAAAGAGAGGATCACTTGGGGGCCACCAGAGGACAATGAGCCCAGAATAAAGGCAAGCCAGCTGTGCAGGCTTTGGGGATGACTGATTAGGACAGAGGGGGCCCTCAGTCACAGCCAACTAGGGCCCAGCAGCTGGAGGTCTCGTTTAAGCTCCCTCTCCTTCCCCTCCACGTTCCCCACTGGTAGAGATGCAGGGGGGACAAGGGAGCTGGGGCAAAGTCTCCCTTCCTCCAAGGGTTGACTCCCTGGCCATGCTGGATGAACCCCCAAAATGTCCTGAAGTAGGAGGATCAGGCTGGGGGCACCTGGGTGGCTCAGTCGGTTGGGCGTCTGCCTGCCTTCAGGGGCAGAAGAAAAAAGGAGGATCAGGCTGAACGTGAGGCTTCCTGCAGGAATCACAACAACTTTGTATTGGGGCGCCTGGGTGGCTCAGTTGGTTAAGCGACTGCCTTTGGCTCAGGTCATGATCCTGGAGTCCCGGGATCGAGTCCCACATGGGGCTCCCTGCTCAGCAGGGAGTCTGCTTCTCCTTCTGACCCTCCTCCCTCTCGTGCTCTCTATCTCTCATTCTCTCTCTCAAATAAATAAATAAAATCTTAAAAAAAAAAAAAAGAAACTACCCCAGCCCTTCCTTTCCACTGTGCATCAGAACCTACAAAGCAACTTCATAACTGTTCTTGGCACTTGTTATGGTCAGTAGATACGTGTTTGGGAGAGGTGCCCATTAAGGTGGTGGGACCTTCCCTCTTGCTCACTACTGTGTCTCAGGCCCAGTACAGTAGATACTTTTTACATGTTTTCTTGACAGGACACAATGTCTAATTGAAACCCTGGGATGACCTTTCTGGGATTTCTGATCTACCATCTCTAGGATCTCACCCAGGTGAGTTGGCCTCCAAAACCTGCTATTTCTACAACAGCAAGATTTCTCCAACTATTTTTTTTTTTTAAACCATGACCCACAGTAACAAAGACAATATATACCATTACTACTCCTTCACACACATAACTAAACAAAAGCTTCATGAAATAATACTGAATCTTAAAAAATAGAATGTACCAGGATCTTTTCTATTCTGGTCTCTTCTATTTTACTTCATTAAAAAAAAAAAAAAAAAGGGTTATGGCCACTGCCCACTGAGCTATTTTCATGACCTATAATATACAAAACACTGTACCATAGGGCTATTTACAGATCGGTAGCCCTGTGAACTTCCTAATCAGCACGTATCTATGAAGTGAGGAAACTACCCCTATCACAAAGCAGCAGGACTGTCATAATGACCGGCCCACAAGTCTTAAGGCTCTGGAGCTAGATGTGCTTTGAAGTTCAGAAATTTTCAGATTTTTTGGAAGGTGATATACCATATATACAATATATTTCTTTAAAATCACAGTGCAGTGTGGGACAAGCAGCATTTTGTAATTGAACACGTCGATATTTCTAGAGTAAAGGGTATAAATATTCACTCTAGGTAGGATAATTAAAGGTTATCACTTTTAGCAGTTCCAGTCAGGTCTGGACACGAAATTTATGGAAAAATATGATCTTCAGGGCTTTCCAGATTTTGACTGCAGATTAGGCAATGTGGCAGACTTGTAAGTGCTAACATCTACTCATCAGTGTTTTCCTCACATGACGGAAGTTAAGCCTCAACTTGTGAGTATAATTTGGTCCACAGATGTGGTGTTTTTTTGTTTGTTTGTTTGGTTTGTTTTGCCCACAGTGTTGGCAGATAGGAGGTTTTGAAATAAATTATTTTAAGTAGTCTCAAAGTTATTTCGCTTAAAAATTATATTTCCAGTGTCCAAAAAATCCTAGATTTGGCCCGCTGATCTGTCAGTTGGTGCCTACTTAAAGCGACCCCCCCCTTAGATGGGGCAAGTGCTCCCTGATGCCCCACAGCCCTCCTCCAGACAGGTTCTCTCCTTTAACTTATCTGCCTGACTCTCAGAGACATCTGAGCTTGAGACCTCCGTCTACAGTTTTCACATCACGTTCTGTCCACATCTCATACACTTTGAGCCACGGGACAGAAGAAACAGGAGCCCGACTGTGGAGTTCAAGGTCACCCAGCCTGTCAGAATAACTCGAGCCGAACAATTACAGGACTGAAAAATCTTGGGCCCTGGAGTTGGGAAGTCTTGCTGCGGCTTAGTGTGGAGCCATGGCTAGATCTAGATCATTCACGCTCTCTGTGGCTGGTTTCCACATGTACAAAATGGGACAAATGAAACAGATCCAGAGTCCCGTATCTGTTCATTCTAAAAACCAAAAAAGCTCTGAAAACCAGAACTTTATTCATAAACTGACAGCAAAACGAACCCGAATCGCCACAGGATGCGTGTAGTGTGAAGATTCACGCCTTTCCCAGCAGAAATCATCAATTTCCAAGAATTGCCCCGGATCCCTCTGGGGTGTTGACTAACTATAAAATATGCACCCTTTTAACTTTCTAAACTATGAAAATATGTGATTCCCGAGATCCTGCCAAGGGAGCCGATACAAGCGAGGAGCTGCACTTAGCGCTGCTGCGGTGATCACATTAGGAAATCCGAGAACCGCGCGGCGGCCGGCACACAGGAGGCGCTCGAATGTGAAATACTTCGACCTCGTGAAGAAGTCCTCCCATTCATTCATCCCTCGAGATTTGCCTCGCTTCAACTTCGAACAACTCAACCACTCCTTCGGCCTCAGACTCCTCACTCAAAATAAAACCTAACCGCTCCTCTCAAGGGCTCCGGTAAGGACTGGAAACCGTTTCAGGTTTCCAGAAAGCCCGGCCCGGAACAGGCTCTAAACAAGACAGCCTTCAACACCTCACCTAGACACCGACCGCCCAAGACGGCGCGCCCTTTGCCGAAATCGCCCCGTGAGCATTCCGTCACCCCTCAGGAAGGACCGAGCCCCCAAGCCTCCGAAGTACTCAACGACGCCACCCTCGGCGTCTCCTCACCTGAAGACTGTAGTCCGCCGGATTAACAGACGCTACTCCCGCCGAGAAAAAAACGCTGACCCAACTCCTCTCACTAGCGCCTCGTAACCACTTCCGGCGTCGCGTGAATTTCCTCAAACTACTCCACCCAGGAGACTCCGCGCCAGCTCGAGGACTCCGTTTCCCAGAAGACTGTGCGGGTTCCGCCCCTTGTCTTCCTATCTCCACCCGCTTCCTCGGCCTTACAGGTTCCGCTGAGCACTCTGGGAAATAGAGTAGAAACAAAATCGGGACCAGGTGGCGTGTGGGTATTGTAGTCCAGTTTTTTTTTTGTAGTCCAGTTTTTACCCTGTTGAACGACAATCTACTCAGCGCACTCCGGCTTGAAGGCGACGGAGGGTTGCCATGGAAACGCGTTGAGAAGGCAGTTCCTGAAAAGACGCTTGGAAGTAAGGGGCGGAGGTGAGGCGGGAAAATGATAATATGACCTCTCTCTGATAGGCGGAGAGATGGCTCGTAGTTCATACCTCCTTACGATTGGCTCTAAATTGGCACATGCGCAGTAGAACAAGGAGCCTTCCAAAAGAGGGTGGAATTGGGGTGGACCATGAAGAAATAATCCCTCCCCGGCACGACCCGGGGGCGGTCTGGCGGTCATCAGCGCCTGCGCTGGCGCTGTCCTCCCTTCGGGTGGAGGATGCGCGCGCAGCGCTTTCCGCCACCCGGAAGCTTGCGCGCGACAACAAAGAAGGTGAGTCCTACTCTCCGGGAAGGGTCGGAGAATTTGGCCGCAGACGTCTGGCTCCCCATCCCGCGCAGAGTCCAGAGGTGAGGGGAAAGTGAGGCGGAACAGGAGGAGGTCTCCCGATCCACTAACCACAGTCCAGTTGCGGTGCCTGTGACGTCAGCACGATCCTTTCTGGGAGACAGAGTCCCCGGGGGCTGGGGTCTCGATGAAAGAAACTTCTGGTCGCCGGGATAAGCGACCTACCCTTGCGACCCCTGCAAGCCACTGTGGGCTCTTGGTAGTCGTGACTACGACGGAGGTGGGCGGAGCTAGTGGAGAGCTTGACAGATGCCCCTCCTTGGCACTACGTCATCCCTGGTTTCTCTGGAGGGCGGGGCCTAGGCGAATCCTGGGCATCTGGACACTTGTCCCTCCTGCGGGAAGGTGGAGTCCAGCCCTTAGCTCTTTTGCTGTGCTGTGGCTGAGAATATTCTAGGAGGGACGCAATTCTTAACACATAACAGATGTTCAGTAAATGTTTGTTGAATAAATAAAATAAATCAGTGGGTGGATGATAAAGACCCCTGAGTGTTGGAGCCTTGGGTTTAAGTCCTAGCCATGTGACCTTGGACAGGTGACTTCACTTTGAGACTCCCTTCTTGCATCCATATTTCTTGAGCGTTGACTATAGCACTACCTTCATCTGACCTATTAAACAGTTGCTCATTTGTTTATTAGTTTCCTTTTCTGCCACTAGAATGTGAACTTTCCCCGGGTCAAGAGCCTGTTTGTTGCCTTCGCTACTGTATCCTCAGTGGTTAGCACATATCAGGAGTCAGTGAGTGATTACTGAATGAATGAATGAATGAATGAACTTAGCACATGCTGGCTATGTTGCCAATGATCAATAAACACTAACCATTATCTTCCACTCATATGTGAAGTGGGCCTGAGTCAACCTCTCCACTTTTATTCACTTACAGGATACCGTTAAGATGGACTCGCCAGCCCAGTGAATCTGAGGGCCAGACCGTGACCCCATAAAAGGTACCATCCCCTCAGGGACATGCCCCTTAAGGCCTTTTCACCACCCACAGCTTGCTCCTGTTCCATCTCCTCTATGTTCCTGCTCTCAGACTTCACTCCCAGGAGGAAGGTTACCATGGGCATGGCAGGGTCACTGAGTTAGGCTCTTGCCCCATCCTAGAGGCTGTCTTTAGCCAAGGCACTTGGCACTGGGGAAAATTCCAGACAAAGCAAAGCACTTAAAACTGTCATGGATTTTCTTTTATTTATTTATTTATTTACTTACTTACTTATTTACTTATTTATTTATTTATTAGAGAGAGAGAGCATGAGCAGAGGTGAGGGGCAGAGGGAGAGGGCGAAGCAGACTCCCCGTGAACAGGGAGCCCGATGTGGGGCTCAATCCCAGCACCCCAGGATCATGACTGAGCTGAAGGCAGACGCTTAGCCAACCGAGCCCCCCAGGTATCCCATTCTCACACCTTGATCTCGCACTTCTAGCCTCCAAAACTCTGAGAAAATAGGGGCGCCTGGGTGGCTCAGTCGGTTAAGCATCTGCCTTCAGCTCAGGTCATGATCCCAGGGTCGAGCCCCACATTGGGCTTCCTGCTTGGTGGGAAGCCTGCTTCTCCCTCTCCCACTACCCCTGCTTGTGTTCCCTCTCTCGCTGTGTCTCTCTCTCTCAAATAAATAAAATCTTAAAAAAAAAAAACAAAACTCTGAGAAAATAAATTCCTGTCATTGAAACCACCCAGTGGGTGGTGTTTAGGGATGGCAATCTAAGTAAATGAATACTCCTGCCCTGTCCTCATTTGTAATGGGCTCTGTGTGTGGCTTTGGTTTTGATTTTTACAAGTATTAGGAAATATTCCAGAGACACACAAGGTCTAGAGGATAATGTGTCTAAGTACGTCAGGATAAGACGGGCTGTGTAGCTTTAACAGTCTGTAAAGTCCTGGTGGCTTCACGCAACATAAGTTCATTTGCTGATCATGAGATTCCAGTGTGGACCAGGCCACCCTCTTCCATCTTGCAGCTATGCCACCTGGAGCATGTGGCTCCCAGAGGCCTCCATGCGTGGACGCGCGCCATCCAGCTCTTAACCGCCTCAGCTGGGAAGTGACTTCCACTCACATGCCATTGGCCAGAACTAGTCACATGGCCCCAGTCTAACTGCAGGGTGGGGGCGGGGGAACCTGGGAAGTGTAGGGGAGCATGTAGCTGATTGGTGAACATTCACTGTCTCTCCGATTCCTATCGTGTGTTTCAAAAAATGAACATCACGGATAATGGCGGGAGACCCTCCGTGCTCCCATGACTGGAGCAAATCTCCTGCATGACTTCCCTGGACTCCGAGGCATTCCCGTGTCTCCTGTGAAACCTGCAGTTTCACATTGCATTTTTCTGCTTTTTACCCACCCTGGGCCACAAGGGAGAGATGCATGGCTAGAGGCTGGATGCAGTGGGCAGGAACTCATTTCTGAAGTGGCCACTTCCTAAGAGAGTCTGTTCCAACGGGATAACTTCCCTCCTTTTTGCAGTTCCGTCACTACGGGGAGCTCAGATGACAACTCACTGGTGGTGCATTCAGTTTTGCTTTCAGCTTCCTTTTCCCTCCCTCCACCGATTGTTTCCTAGCATGATCACCTTCTGTCCAGACTGTGGCAAAAGTATGGAAGCAGCATTCAGATTCTGCCCCTACTGCGGAAAATCTTTGTCTGAGCCATGTTTTGAGCATGAAAGTCCCCAGACCCTTGTCAGACCGCTTACATCATCCTTCAGAGGTAAGAACCAGGCCTCCGAGGGATGATGAGTGCATGTGTGCATGCGTGCATTTGGAGAGGGAGGACAGTCGCCTTTGCAGGCTGTCTGACCCTGCATTGATCCCAGAGCTGCCCAGGACTCAGGCTCTGTCTACACTCAGTTTCTTGGCATCTGATCGGCCTCGTGGCTTTAAAGTTGACAACTCACACATTTCTGTCTCCAGCCTGGACTCCTCCCCTGAAATCCAAATTCATATGTGCATATCAGATTGCCTGCAACACCTGTTGTGTGTCCCATACGCATCTCTACCCATGCCCAGAGCTGAGCTCCTGATGTGACTGCCACCTGCCTATCTGTCCCTTCCGTAGACTTTGAGTCGTGGAATGGTAATCTTAGACCAGACCCTGCAGTCATTATCCTTTAGGCCTCTTTCTCTTGCACCCCACAACTTCAGCCCTCTGGCAAATCTTGTCCGCTCTCCCTTCAAAATCGATGCCCGGTCAGCCCACTTCTGCCACCTCCTGGTCCGTCCCTCCTTCACCTCTCACTGCTCTCTTGCTTGGCACCCAGGACCTGGCAGAGTTGGGTGCTGAGAAATCTCACTGCTTGACACACTCAATGAATGAAATATCAGCTGTGGGTCCTGGCCAATGGGAAGCCCAACCACAGGTCCTGCATTGAAAAATCAAAGTGAGTTTACTTGTCTGAAGGCCACAGAAGGAATTCGGCATACATGACATTTTATCATTTGAGATTGCATTTGGCTGCAAGTAACAGGAAAATGCTTCCTCAAGAGTTTAAAAAAAAAAAGGCTTTATTTTTTTCATACTAAAAAAGTCTTCAGGGGCCAGTGCAGTGGAGGAATGGTATCCCTGTGATGCCACAAGGGACCCAGGCTCCTCCTGTCTTTTTTTTTTTTTTTTAAAGATTTTATTTATTTATTTGAGAGAGAGAGAACGAGAGATAGAGAGCACGAGAGGGAAGAGGGTCAGAGGGAGAAGCAGACTCCCTGCTGAGCAGGGAGCCCGATGTGGGACTCGATCCCGGGACTCCAGGATCATGACCCAAGCTGAAGGCAGTCGCTTAACCAACTGAGCCACCCAGGCGCCCCTCCTCCTGTCTTTCTGCTCAGCCATCCTGAGGAGATGGGTTCCCCCCACCATGCTTATTGCCTTGAGTTTTCAAGATGGCTCTTCATCCCCAATATTTTTTCTGCATTCCAGAGAGATGCCAACAGTATTTACCTTCACTGAGTTCAGAGCCTGAGTTTTTTGTTTTTTTTTTTTAAGATTTGTTTGTTTATTTCAGAGAGAGAGAGCTCACACAAGCATGAGCAGGAGGAGAGAATCTCAAGCAGACTCTTTGGTGAGCACAGAGCCTGACTCAGGGCTCGATCTCACCACCCTGAGATCATGACCTGAGCCGAAGCCAAGAGTCAGACACTTAACCAGTGGCGCCCCCAGAGCCTGAGTTTTAACCACAGCCTTCTCTAATGCCAACCTAGGACTCAGTTCATTATTCATTCACCCAGTCATCAGGCAACAAATATACATGGACTGCCTACTGTGTACTTAGGTGCTGTCTGTTCCAGGGA